GAGAAGAGCAAAACCATCCAGGCACCTTTTGCTCTCTTTAAAAAAACAAAACAAAACAACAAACAACAAGGAACAAAACAAAACCACTTCCTAGCTATCCAGTGATTGCGGTTTTCAGATCACTACCCTTTCAAATTTGTGAAGAATAAGAGAAAATATGTAGTGTTTTAAATAAAAGAAAACCTGCATCAGACTACAATACATGAATTGTTTAAACAAACACAGTGCACAATTGGAGGAAGTTTGGTTAGGACGCAGTCGTTTTTATATATACATGGAAGTCACATCATATACAAACTGAAAAACAAGAGAGTTAGTTTGCATTTTTCATGGAAGGACTACAAATGGGTCCCTGCAGCTTTCTTCAAAACCGATCTTTAAAAGACTTTGTGAAACAGGAAAAAGCAGCCACACTAAATCACTGTTCCAAAATTACCTTTACAGCATGTGTGCTAGCCCACTAAAACGACGGCTGAGTTGCGTGATTAAAATATGAGGAGAAAAGACCGACAGCCACTACTAATATGGTGCCCCGACAGTACAGGGCTCTTCCCCACTGCAATGCAAATGGGCTCCATCCATGCGCCGCTCCCTCCCTCCCACCCCCAGAAAAAGAAATCGGTCACTAGAAGCACCACATACATTTTTCTGGCCATGCAATACACTTATGTTCAATGTTTTAGAAAGCTTGAAATTGGAATATCAATCCCTTACCTAGTTGTTCTTTTGAAGTACAGTCGTAACTGTTCTGCTTATTAAAGAAGTTGTTGTTTGTTACTAACTATTACCACCACTGCTGGGGTTTTTTTCCCTTTTTTTTAAGTTATGTGGCAACATAGGTCATTCTATTTTTTTTTTTCTTGCCCACAACTACAATTATTGGAAGCCAAATAAATTTAGAAACCAGCCAACACAAAACCAAAACAGAACTTCCCATGTCCTGACTACCCCCTGTTCAGCCTCAAATGGCAAAAAATCTGATGATAGAGCTGTCCAAAATTCCCACTAGAAACATCTGGAATACAAAGGGACATTTTAATTGCACTATAGACATTTAAAGTGAATATCATCTTGTTAAAATCTAATCTTTGGTTTTTGCCTTGAGAAAGGCTCAAAATGACAGATGAGGGGCAGGAATTTCCATGTACGCTGCAGAAACTACAGCTCGCTAAAGTAAGTAGTTCCACCGATTTCGGTAGAGTAAATATTCTGGTAGAGTGTGTTTCCTGGATCATACCCTAAAAACAATTCCAAAACTAGGATGAGAGACATGACCTAAAGCCAGGAAACTGGTGCACATCTAGTTAAAAAAGAAAGAAAAAAAAAAAAAGATCACAACCTTAAGCCCTGGTCCTGCAATACCTTTTAGGACAGAGTTTTAAGCACTTGAATGGCCCCACGAGTTTCAGCAAACTGCCCGAGCCAAACGCTACGCAGTTGCTAAAGTGCTTTGCCAGACTGGGGCTTTGGAAGTCGTTTTGGTTGGTTCTTCTTTGAGGTGGTCAATGAAGCAAATAAGCAACAGTAGAAACGAGGACTACGAGCAAAATGTTTCCTTTCTCTCCTTCTCCTATTCCAGGCAAGACTCAGATATAGGTAAAAAAGTTCAGCTGTATTTAAAAAGGAAAGGGATGCTGGGCCTTTTTATTACTTTTCTTTTTCTTGTGCTTTTGTAATAATCAGCTGCTAGTAAGTCACTACTATTTTAAACCGTAACAAGCTGTGGGAAATGATCAGTGAAACACAGTAGTCAAGTAGACAGAAGACTCAGCACTGAAAAGAGTGTAAACTATAAATTATATTGAAAATAAAAATCCTTTAATTAAAAGCTGTTCAGTGCATATGTTATGGGCCATTGTATTAAAAGACAGTCCCTCCTGCTGGTAACATAACCAAATCAGCTTGGGTATAAATACTCTTGGCCCAATTTTCAGAAGTGTTGAATACCCCCAGTTCCACTGAAATCAGTGAGGACACAGCATTTCTCAAAATCACTGATGCTCACACAGCAAAACACTAACTTCTACTAACAAACTCAATATACTGATAAATTAAAAATGTTCTGAAGTTGGAGGTGGGAAAGGGTGGGAGGACATAAGTTTGCACACAGTTGTTTCTTCACATTAAGACGTACACGAGCTAGTAACTGTAGACGTGTTTTAAATTTGGTGCTATTGGGTTTTAATTCTGGGAGGAATCCTCTTTTGAGAAGGCAAAACCATTTTAAATTATATTGAAATTATACTACATTCCTATGGAAATGAGAAACTTCATGAGTTTGAATTTTGTTACGCCAGGAACAAGGCTTCCGAAGCTGAAGCTTTACCAATGAACTTCTGTGCCACAAAGGGGAGAAGGGGTGGGGACAGAAACACAGTGACACCGCATTACAGTAGATATTTGCGTCTGGTATCCTCATCCAAAGTGAGGTCTACTACTTCTGGGGGCGAAGACCAATTCTGCTGGGGAGTCACAGCTGTCCATGATTGTGTTTGCTGAGTGTTAATGTACTGTGAGCCGGAGCCATGCTTCCAGGAAGACACACTCTGAATCACACCTCCCCTGGGATGCACGCACCTGCAGCGAGGCAAAAAACACAGAAGATTAAAGCTACTATTGAATTCAGGCACAAGACTCTCAGCTGCTGTGGTTTATCACTCAGCCATCTTGTTAACATGTCCCTCTCCAAAATGCCCTCATGGATTTTCCATTTGTAGAGTCCATGAAATACCCAGTACTAAAGCCGAGACTAAACTTATGTTTAAACTTGGGGGTTGTGGTGGGGATTCAATTATTTTTAAGAACCGAATTCTGCCAGTGGGTGTAAAATGTGTGCGTTTTTATGCACATATCCCTAGGATCTTGAAGAAGTCTGCCCCATCATGTGTAGTACCATGCATTATTCAGAAGCACAGTCTCCTGCTAGCACTTTTACCCACTGGACTTTTAAAAAGAGAAAACAATTTAAGTGAGGCGTGATGAGACAAAGAGAAAAGCTGTCTTTCTATATGAAATTAAAATCATGTTAAAAACAAGGACGTAATGATACTTTCATTACAATAATTACAAGAGACATCTTGCAATTACATATTACAGCCATTACACCTGATTTTTCTTTGGTCTTCTTTACGTCTTAACTAAAATTTACAAACATGCTGGGAAATGCTTACTGATAACAGGACAGCCCCACTTCAGTAAAACATTTAAGCCTTCAGTGATTACAGTCAATGAGAATAAATCACGTATTTAAAGATAAGCACACACTCAAGTGCCTTGCTGAAGTGAGGTACAGATCTACTTATTTGCACAGAATTTTTACCTATTATATTCATAACAGATATGTGACAATTTCAGTACAGGCTAATAATAACTGGGGAAAAAAAGATAGACTAATTTTGTTACATACGGTGACAGGAATTTACTGGAGTCTTTAAGATGGTCACTCCATTTCCAGATGTAAATCTTAAAGAAGTGCTAGAAAAACTTTATAGCTAGTGCTCCAAAAACCATTTTGCTCTTGTAAGCACTGGTGGTGGCTGTAGCTGCTCCTGGCTGCGTACGTACGCAGGCTATGTTCGGCTGCTGGGGCAGCCCTTTCCCTTTTCTTTGTACTATATTTCAGGAACCCAGCTTTTCTGCACCGGTCAAATATCCCTGACATTTACATTTTATCTGTTCTAATTTATGGTAGCGCAATTTATTTTCTCCAGAACTACTTAGGTTACGCTCATCTCTCCTGGCTCTGGTTAGAGTTTCATGAAATAGAATGAAAAATCTCCTTCTCCGAGCTCTAACTTCTCTGAACATAAATGTCTCATTTCCTCTCAGATATGCTATTTAGTTTTGGATGTGATGTTCAGAACGACTTTTTTATTACTTCTTCAGTCTTAAAAATACCTTCTTAAAGTACATATCTACAAAGAATTAGTAGTAAGAGACTGGAACTCTAACAAATCTAGGGGATTATTTTTTTTAAATTTTCTTTTAAGAAGAAATATTTTTAAGCATAACTGACAAGAAAAGATCATAGCCAAAGAAAACTAAATACTATGTTCAGTCTTGGGGACTACGGTCCATCATTCTGACACAGAACAGTCCTCAATGCTCAGGCAAAGCTAATACTACATTTTCTCCCTAAAGATGACAAAAAAGCAAGCTATAAATTATCTCATAAAAATGATACCTTGCAAAAATAAAAGTGCTTATCCTCACATGAGTCACACAAGCAGCCAATAGCAAAATGGTCAATCAAACATTAGCTTAGGGAACATGCTTTCCAATCTGTAGCTAAGGGAAGATACCAAGTAAAGGCAACTAAAAAAGGGGGGGAGAGGGAAACACCTAGGAAAAAACAGAGCAAGACTGTTTTATATACATGCATAATTAAAAAAAAAATCTATTGGACAAAAATTAAACAAACCGAAAAACATGACTTGGTGTCCTAAGGAGATGCCAAGTAATATTCCAATGATGAGAAACACCACCAATTCACTAGCATTCTGAAAAACTAGGGATGATGGACGAACTCTAGGGTTTCACGACTCACACCAGTCCAACGACGACATGGAATATGCATCACGATAAAAAACAGTGTGAGCAAAAAAACTGAACCCAAACACCATACTAACTAAGCATGCAAAAAATACTCATCAAAAACCTAAACCTTTTCCAAACGACAACCCTGTCAGAAGCCCATCAATACTTCATAACTGCAAGCCTAGACCTGCAAAAGAAATAAAATTCTAAATAGGATTCAAACAACTGAAATGTGTGAGTATTCAACGGAGCCAGTAAGAACTAGAGTTCAGGAGACAGCAGATAAACTGACTTTATATAGCAACTCTACATTTGCTCAACATTTCCATTCTTGTACATGGTAACTATTATTGAAGCAAGCGGCATGGAAAGCTTTTGAACAGGGGACCTCGAGCAGCAGGGTTGTGTGTATGTAGCGCTAGACAGATTTACACGAACTAGTAGTGGAGGACAAGTCCACGCTGCTTATCATTAGGACAAAGATCCTCTAAGCCCTGGGTCTGCCGGATAAACAGCCAGGAGAGCTACTTCCTAAGGAATTAGTATCTTCCAAAAGAGTTAGCCATGCAGGGACTTTCACTGTTCTAAAAGCAAAGACTAAATCTCTCTTCCTTAAGCAACTTAAAATTTCCTTTTTTCACATCCAACTGCACTGGACTGTGCCCACACTGTCTGTAGTTTCCTGCCTGGGAAACTGGGTCCTGTACACCTTCCTTCTGCCTGTCCTCAAGAAAGATGTGGTGAATGGACAATGAGGAACAGCTCTGTTCCTTGTCCCTCACAGCCCTTTTCCACCTCCAAGCATTCTCCAAGCAGCAGACTAGTTTTAGAAAGAGCTTGTCTGCATACTGTTATAACTCGCTTTTATTCCATCAAATTAACACTCCATACTATAGAAAAATGCCAGTCTTTTTCAACTGCTTCATATTACCTTAAGCCAAGGAAAGATCATAGACTAAAGATGAAGAGTAACATCAAAAAACGCCTACCCAGAATAACAGCTGAAGCACAGCTCAACTATCTGAGCTTGAGAGAAACCTCTGGCTTCCTTACCTTCATCTACTTCGGGGGTTCGAACTCTCTTGTATCTTGAAATAAAACCAAGATTCATAAGGAGCCGGATTTTAATCTAAAAGGGCTAGCTTATGACATTAGCCATTAAAAAGTTGATAGTATTTTTAGAACTAATGATTAATTACATAAATTAGAAGCTGATTAAGCTTAAAGTGAGTATTTTGAAAGGAAACAAGAACCCACATAAATATTTTTTTTTATGTATTTGCATATTCAGACTATGCCCTTAAAATCTGAATTCCTAGCAATGGTTCCTGATGTATATAAATTTGGTATCTCAATATTTGGTATTTTAATACGACATATGTTTTGCCTGTTAATGTTTATGTGCTGGTTTTGGCTGGGATAGAGTTAATTTTCTTCATAGTTATAGCTAGTGTGGGGCTGTGTGTCGGTTTTGTGCTGAAAACAGTGTTGATATATAGAGTTTTCGTTACTGCTGAGCAGTGCTGACACAACACCAAGACCTTTTCTGCTCCTCACACCACCCACCAGCGAGCAGGCTGGGAGTGCATGGGATGCTGAGAGGGGACACAGCCAGGACAGCTGACCCCAACTGACCAAAGGGATATTCCATACCATATGATGTCATGCTCAGCATATAAAGCTGGGGGAAGAAGAACGAAGGGGGAGACGTTCGGAGTGATGGCGTTTGTCTTCCTGAGTAACCGTTACACATGACGGAGCCCTGCTTCCCTGGAGATGGCTGAAGCCCTGCCTGCCCATGGGGAGTGGTGAATAAATCCCTTGTTTTGCTTTGCTTGCGTAGGTGGCTTTTGGTTTACCTATTAAACCAGTTTTATCTCAGCCCATGAGTTTTCTCACTTTTTACTCTTTCGATTCTCTCCCCATCCCATCGTGGGGTGAGTGAGCAAGCAGCTGCGTGGTGCTTAGTTGCTGGCTGGGGTTAAACCACAACAGTCTGATATCGAATCACAAGCTTAATCTGAATACATATGAAGTTGATAATATTCTAAAGAAAAACACATTCTGCTATCACCGTGACCAGCAGAATAGAAAAAACAAGTGCAACATTTGCTATTTTTCAGGCATCAGTTATGGAGGGATAACTACACAAGCGGAAGTCAGTAGTTTTTTATTAATTTTGGCAATACAGATATTCTGATAAAATGAACGAAAAATTAGAAGTGGAAAAAGCAAGAAAAAAGGAATTCATACCTGGCATGTTCCTGAACTCCAACAATCTCTACTTCACTATCAGAAGAGGCAATATTAATTTCTTCATTGATCTGGGCATTTCCAGAAGAGGTTTTGTCACTTGCAAGGAAGCCTGGATCCAAATGACCTATAGATGGGAAAATGCAAACACAGCCAATGTTTAACAGGTTACACAACTCAGAAATCAGCTGGAAAAGGAATTTCCCAAGATAGCAAAAAAAAAAAGACTGAGACACTGAAATTGGAAAATCTTGTTAGATCAAGTTGTCCAACTTTCAGTTCATCACCTGATACAGGATGACCTTGATGACCTATGATTTATCCAGTCTCAATAGCTCTAGTGACGGTGTTATGACACCAGTGTGAACAAAGCCCGACTACTGCATCAGGAGCACTTGATGTAATTAGGCTTTCCAGCTGTTATATTACCACAATGCTAAGAGTTAGACTGTGCCTAAATCTCTTTGAAATAGAGAAACATAACAATCTACTGTCAATAAATCAAACTCGGTGATACTGTGGCAAACAAAGCCTATAGGCCAGACAGAAACATCACACACACCAAGGAAAATGATCCCCCTCCAAAAAAAAACAGGGGAAGGTTGTCAGTGGAAAAAACAACAAACCCGTCAGTTTCTGGTTGCGTTGGTTCACACGTCTGCTCTAACATTATTACAAATGCTTGGGAAAAAAAAAAAAAAAAATCTGTTTTTCATAAGTTCCATAAGTGTTGGGTTTTTATTACAGTTCCTCAATGCTATCCAGTTCATCAGTCTGTCAAACAAAAGTCCTCTCTAAATACAGTAAGTGTGGCAGGTTTTGCCTTTTCTGCAAAGAAGGTCCTTCACCACAATTAGTGAAGCTGTGTCGTGACATATTAAATAACATTTGCATGGAAAACACAAAACAGCCAAAATAATTATTTGTTTTGCAAAAAATAAATTATTTAAAAATTCTATTAAAAACAAGAAAGAAGATAACTTCTACTTTCTTTTCCTCCTCTAAAAAAAAAAAAATTACTTCTACTGTCTGTCTTTAGCAGTAACCTGGTGGATGCTGGGCAGCCCTGAAGCAGACAAGACTACCTACTTCTCGGAAACCACTCACTCAGCTGTATTACACAGAGGAAAAATCATTTGTCAAGCAGGACATTTGAGATTAGATTAACAAATTAGGTATATCTAGTTTGACTGGACATCTCTGAAGAGATGAGAGGAGGAGGATGCAGTAACGATCCACCAAATTTCAAAGGTGTGCGAACATGCAGAACTGATTATACCCCCGGGTAGATCAAGAGGACACAGACAGAAGAAATTAAAACAAGTGCCAGGGAAACCTTCTAATGACTGCTTCAAGTACTTGGAAAAGATGCAAGCAAGTAGAGGGGCAGAGACCATACTGTATGTTCAGTTTTTGGAAAGCAAAGACCCTTAGTGCAACATCCGATCAGGGTTAGCAAGGGAAGGAAACCTGTGTGCTGCCATGTATCTGAAGGAGGAGCTTCCACCTCACAAGACAAAAAAAGATTTGTCAGCTGAACTTAAAATGAATTAATAGCCCAGGCAGTCTTTTCCTAACACTACAGTTCAGCTGAACAATTCTTGGCAAATATCACTGACTGCCACAAAGTCCCAAAACGGGTCACAGATGTTTCTTTAATAGAAGTGGCTGGGCACACCGTGAAACATGAAACGGAAGCGCTCAGAGGCTTTGATTCACATGCTGGCGATGCAAACCGGGAGCTTTACCTGATCACCACCCCAATGACTCGCATCGCCCCGCTCCTGAACGTCGTTGCTGCTACAGCACAGGCAGCACAACTGCGTTGCTACACAGTCCTTGGGCACCGATTCATGCACACTGGTATGGATATCGACCTGCCTTAATATGTTGTATTAATGAGGTACTGCCACTCTGCACCCTTTACTAGACAGGGTAATGTCTGGCAGCGGGGCAAAGCAGACAGCTTTAGCCCCAACATAAATCCCCAGAATAAATGGGAGCACCAAAAGACCTTTTATATATTACCATAGCTTAAGTTGAGACAACAAAAAGGTGATTAGCAGTAGAGAAACCGTGATTAGCAGAGTAAATATTGCAACAGTAGCTGAGTGTAAATCAGCATTATAGCATACAGATAGATTTATAGCCTCTGGCCATACAAATTTCATGCCTAATAACATGCTTATGCTGTTAACTTCTTTGCACTAACATTAGGATGACGCCCAAAGCAGATGTTTTGTTTGCCCTACAACATCAGGGCTTGCAAAACAGCCCAAAATATTTGCCCATGCACAAAGGTGTGATAGTGTGTCCTAATAAGATTTTTCACTCAGATAAAGCTTATGTTGTTATTTTCCCATGGGAACACATCATTTAATGTCTGTAAAACTAGATACAGGCTGAAGATTAAATTTGGGAACAAGATATCAGATTTGAAAATTCTGCTTTCCAAATGTGCAATCCCAGACATGGTAAGAAAAGGCCAGTACTGACAAATGTGCAGTCAGAGGTGTATGGAGGCTACAGGGCTCTGGGGCAAGGTGTATGCAGGAAGAAAATGAGATTCATCCTTCCAAACGTTGAAATGGCTGTAGCACCAGGAGCAAATTTGTCTGGACACATTCCCATAGGGTCAGGGATGAAGAACTTTCTTGGAGTTTTCTAGTTTTCTTTTACTTGGCAGCCTCTTCCTCGCAAGTCCCCTAGGATATAGGTGGAGGAAGGAAGACAAATTTCTACCTGCATCGCAGCACTGTACTCATAAGCGGGAAGTGGAAGAAAGCTTGGTAAGAAACATCGTTTTTTATTTCCTTACACTCCTTTGCAGTACCAATCCATTAGTGCTATATAATAAAGTTATTTTCAGTTGTTCTATTTGTTTAATAAATCACTTTATAAAGGAGTGGGCTTGTTAGGGGTTAAATAGCTAACTATCAGTCAGCTGCTATCCTGCAAACAATACCGGAGAGCTTGGAAAACACTAGCTTCAAAAAGGCTGGAACAACATCCAGCCACAGACCACAGTGAAAATAATGCAGCTGAGAGTCTCATATTCAAATAATGGACTTGTCCACTATACAATAATGGAACATTTCTTTCAAAATCTGCCACATACTTCTATTTCTTTAAGCCTTATAGACATTGAAAAGTAGCTCAGAGCTACCAGGACACTTCCAATGTAGGTGCCCGCTGTCAGACTTAATCTGGAAAACACAGCATGAAACAAAAAGCTGCCGTGTTCCACTACTGCAAGCAGGACTCCATGTCTTACGCAGCTAAAAATCTTAACATGGGTATTAAAAAAAATGAGTGGAAAGGAAGGCAGTATGTTGGCATACAAGGCTATGGGATGAAGTTGACAGGAAATATTCCCTGTTAGCTCTCTGCATCCAAAACACAGTAGGATGTCACGTGGTTGTTTAACTCTCTTGTTAGTGAAGAGTTGCAAGCACTCAGCGAAGCTGAACAATTTTTATGAGCTACATGAACTTTTCTGAATTCTTCCACGGTATTCCTGCTCTTGCTTTCTTGAAGGAAATTTCTGTGCTGTCTCTTGATGCTAAGCCCACTTACCAGCACCTTTTCACCCTTCTTTCTCTGATGCTGGTCTGTCCAATTTTCTGAGGTATGTTAGAAATGCAGATGGAATATGGGAATAATTAATGCTTGTGTTTTAAAGAAATAGAGACAAACAAAAGAGACAAAAAAGACATACACAGACAATTACAATACTTCAAATGAGATTATGATCGGTTTACTAGCTGGTGGCATGGGTCATCATAATCGACCACTCAGTAACAAGCTCAGGTCACTTTCTTTTAAAAGAAAAACACCACCAAAACCCCAGAGCTAAGTTCCAAGAAGTAATTAGAGAGAAAAGGAGGAGAACAAATAATTAAGAAAATTAGTGTCAAAAAATACATTGCAGGAATCTTTGTCAATTTTTATCAGCTCTATTTTGGAATAAATGTCAGGCATTTTAATAAGCACCTATATTGTTTTGTTGCAAAATCCACACAAGGAGCTTTTAAAAGCTGTATAAACTACAAAAATACTGAAAGCAAGAAAGTGGGAAGACACTAACTGAGGTGCTGGAACAAATGTCAGAGGAAGAGAATTTAAACAAACCTGTATCAGCACTCAGTTCATCTAGCAGCCCTCTGGTTCTCCAGGTAGATCCCGAGTCTTGGTTTCCTAAAGAATTACTGTGCTCTTGAACTACGGCAGCTGCCAACAGATTGTCCACATTTACCACTTCTGGGTCTGAATTTGTGTCTGATATATCATAATGAGCTACAACTGGAGGTCCATCTGCAGAAGGAGAGAAAAGCAACGTGTATCAGAAGTCAGCATACTGTGAAAGACACCTTTAAAAGTACAAATAAATTGTTTAAGGATTAATGCAATCTCCTATACGAAGCTCTTAAAAAACTATAGATTATATGAATTATTAAACGTCAGTTAATGAACACTGAGATTACAGAGACATTTTAACCTTTGCATACACAGAAAACACAAATGTAAGAAAAACACGTTTATCAATGTATCAGTTATTTGTGTATTACTTCACATTAACAAATAAACACCTCCATATCTGATGACATTACATTTACAATCATAAAAGAATAAAACCTTCAATTTAAAATAAAAAATATTAAGTTACAGGACATTAAATTTGGCAAGACAAGGTATTTAACTAGAGAATTTTACAAAACTCAAGTGACAGCTTACATTACTTTAGGGTTGATTGAATAAAACTAACTTTCTGATATACCTGATCCAGTGACAATAAATTTAACATTAGGCAACTTTCCTTACATAACATTTACCTGTCAAGGACAGGGGAATTTTTCAAAATGTCAATGTTTTTTGGCGTTGTTTTTTTAAGACCAAGAAAAACAAGAAACAAAACTATAATGTGCAGCAATAAATATGCTTTTAGTTCAATATGACTACCATATGCATCTTTGGCCACCAAAGTGACGGGGAAAAGAGGGAGAGAAAATTGCTTACATGATTCCGAAATCTATTCTATTGAGAAGTAACAAAAAGCTATTTTTGGTCGGTTTTGTTAGGATGGACTATTTTAATGACAATCACTTATAATTGGAAAGCATGCTAGAAACAGAAGAGGCTCAGAAAAAAGTCAAATTCAAGACAGGGATTAATGGGGAAGCAAAGAGAGAATGGATAAACACTGTAGTTCTGAAAGGATGCACATTTTTAACTCAAATGCCTCGTCTCAACTACAGCTTATCGACTCGGAGTCGATGAAAGTGGTTGGAGTTCCCGCTCCCCAAATGAGAGAATCAAAACTTTCTTTGGGCCAAGACCTCATCTACAAAAATGAATATAACATAGACGAAGAGGTTGGGTCAAAGCTCAGCAGCTTTGCTACTGCAATTATTTAACTACAAGAAGTTCTGGCAGCTGAATGTCTGCAGGACTTTTTTGTTATGGGTATGATACATAGAGGGTAAAATTTGTATGGGATAATATAGAATAAACACAAACTAGTGTGTTTAGGAAGACAAGACCTTCAGAATTACAAAATGGCTAAAGAAATTTTTAAAAGTCACAAAGAATAAAATGAAAAGACTTTTCAGGAAAGACTGTTTTCTTCTAGGAGTGTTAAGTGGCTGTTGAAGACAGAATGTGATGAACTAAAAGTTTCAAATTTAGTTCTCTGAAAAGCAGTTTCTATTAAGGTTTTTAGGGTTGCTTTTTTTGGTTTTGTAGGGTTTTTTTTGGTAACTTGGTCCCTGAAACATAATTCAACCCACTATTTTAAGAAATGCCTATTTTGTGATTAGCAACACACTTCATTAAAGAGCGATCATATTGCTTAAGTCATACTAAAGATCAGTTTTGCAACAAGGTATGAAGAAATTCACAAAATATTTCTGATCACACCTGCCTCCAAAACAACAATTTCATGAACAATGTTATAGTACAAACTTAAAACAGACCCGACAAAAATAAATGGGTAGTTAAATGCCGATGTATTAAAGACCAAACTGTTCGCAACATGACACACTGATGATTATGACTGGAAAAGAAGTCCTGATAATTAACTGAAAGGCAATCTTTGTCTTTTTAAAAGGCAATTACAAAATAATGGAATACCAAGTTCAAAATTAAGCTGGCTGATGTTCAGTTAATTATTTGTGAAAGCCGATGATTAAATTACATGCCGAAGTTACAACTGGAGTGAATCACGAGAGGCATGTTTTCTTTCAGTCTTATCATCAGAGTTCAGCGTGAACATATATAATGTGATCTATAAAAATAAACAGTCGAGTGCAGAAGATACGAGGGTCAAGTACAATATTGACTGTTTGACCATTTTTTCCATAGGTTATCTAAAATTTCAGGAGCTATGTACTGTTCCTTCAGGTCTTTGTTTCTCCCACTTCTTACTAAGATCTCCAAAAGCAGAAGCGGAATTTGATTTCAGATAGACGTGTCTATACAACTAAAATTATATTTGGACAAAAGGCACCAATAGTCTCAAGTCAAAATTGTACCACTCCTACATGTATAATCATGCAAAAATGTATAATAAATGTATATACATGCAGAGTGATATTCTCATCACCTACCCATAGAAATAACTTGTGTGAAAGTCTTCATCAGTAGGAAATACAAGCATAAACTTGTTATCTGTAGCTCCACTCTTGTATCTTCCACACTTCCAAACAGCACACCTTATAACTTAGCTTAAATTTAGTATACATCAAACAGACAAAAATATTTTCAATGTAATTTACATACTGTAATTATATTTGTCAGTGTAATAGCCACTAATTTAACAATCTGGAAACAAGCAGCTGCCTATTTACAAAGCAATCACAGCAGAGATCTATTTTTGCTTTTCTCAGCCTTGCCTTCCAGGATCAGATTAGGAAACGAAAGGCCCCTGACACCAGGTTTATCCACACCTATCACCAGTAAATGACCAACGAGGCCAAGACAACAGCCACTATGCTGCAACAAATCCGAGGATTCCCAGCATGTATAGAAGAATAAATAAGCAATAAAACCCTATGTGTCTTTAAAAACAAAACATCCAATATATGTTGTAGACAACTACAACTAGGTGAAAGTTGCAGTGAAGGCATATTAAAAAAAACCTCTAAAAAGCCTCCATTCCCCAAAGCCCGTTTCCTTTTTAATGCTACGAGGATGGGACAGGAGGGGTTAAATTTGGAAATAAATAATAATTCCCCGGCCAACTACGTGATCATCCGATGATGTGATGCAAAGTGAATGTGTAGTACTAAGAAATAAGGACAACCGGCTTCACCTAGGAAATAAGAACTGAAAAAATGCTTTCAGTCTGAAAGGGTAAAAGGATTAACTACAACCATAGTTGTAACTTATCATCTTTTCTTTACAGCAGAGCCACTCCTCATAATTACTGACTGCAACAGGATTTCAACAGATAGAAAAACAGACACCAAAGCAAACCATGCCAGAATCAAAATTTAATGTAGCACAATTAGGAGGTTCTCTGGTCAGTAATTTAAACCATCTATTTAAGAAAAAAATCACATCTTTTGAGAAGCAGAGGTAGCTGGAAGACTTGCATTTCCCTAGTGATAAGCTTTAATTCATTTTTAAAGCAATAAATGTTTGAAAAAGACAAGGCTGAAAGTTAATAAGTACCAGCAGCAAAATACAGCTGTTGACATTTAATGTTAAAAGGGGGAGGGAAAGGCTGGAGTTTTGTTTCAGGTTTTTTTTTTTTTAGTTCAGAGGCAGAGGTCATCATGGGGACAGCATTTCCAAGTGTCCAATTCTCCCTTTATTTACAGAGCTTATCAAAACTAATTCCACTCAGGACTGAATCGGAAGCCACATGCACAAAAATCCAGGTCTACACATATCAATTTTTATTTTAAGCTTCCAATACAGAATTCAGCAATTTCTTATTTGCTAGCCACTCTCACACTTTTCATTGAGCCACATCTCAACATTCAGCGGTCTAAACTGTGCTGTAAGACCAACACTCCTATTATCCCTCAATTCATTCTAATGGCAGCACAAGCAAAAAGGAGGAATCAACCGTAAAATTTCAGCTGTAGGTTAAAAGCAGCGATCCTATAAGAAGCTCCGTACCTTTGCGCTGAGACAGCTGTGTATCAATGCACAGCAGTACTTTATCACAGGAAACAAAAGAGGTTAGCTAGCAGAACCTGAATGGGGAATTTAGTCCTTTTTCTCTTTAGCTTGTTTAAATTTAGGCATGTAGTTCCAAGCTCATCACCTAACTCCCCTCTGCTGTAGCCAGAGAGAGGAACTTCAGGGTCAAGTAATCTCAGCCTGGAGCTTCATCATCTCCTCCCATTCCCCGATAAACAGGAGCAGCTTAGACAACCACCTTAGACAAGGCACTTAACTTTTACACTGCTAAGTTCAGCAAAATGAACGCCAGCCTTAGGGATGGGATTTAAACTTTGCTGTATTTTCTCTACAAGTAGTGGAAAAGGACTGAAATCTCCAGAGGACTATCCCGATTGAAGTAATTTGAAAATTAAAAGCCTAATTTTGGTAGTCTGAATTGCCCTCTAGAGTCATCAGTGTCTTTGCAATGAAGAGACATGGAGCCTTATTTAGGTGTGATGATCACCCTAAGCTTTAAAACACACAGAGCAGGTACAATAATAATAGCAGTAATAATTACAGCACTTTTATTCTTACAAAAAGCTTTCCATTAGTAGTTCTCATAGAGCTCTGAGGTGGTTATTAACCTCCTTATGCCTATGGGGGAAACTGAGGCAAGCAGAGATTTGCAGCTTGCTTAAGGCTAACAAGCAGAGGAGCTCAGCTTTGCTGAAGACAACACTCCTCTCAAATTACAGAGCTATTTTTAACTGCTAAATTATTGAGGAGTTTAAAAATAGTGTTTAGGAATGCTTTCGTGAAACATGCAAAATCTAAAAAGAAAACTGAGAGAGGCACTCTGGTACTCGCAAACCCAAGGAGATGCGGCTTCTTTCAGCCCCACCTCTGCATCTGCACTGTGAATACAGGCACTGCTTTGTCTCAATCTCAGTACTCTAGACTAAATTGCATTCATTTTTATGTAACAAAAGAGAATACTGAGATGTTTTAAAATAATAAGAGTTAAGACGACCTTCATTTACACTTGACACAAATTTAAGAGATAATTCCATTTAGTTAAGATTAACAAAACACAGAATGGACTTTAATACCTATATAAATTTTAAGATCAGATGATCATTCCAGTAATTGAAATAATCGTATTTTGTGTGCCAAAAAATAGAGGATTCATCCTAAGTGACTTG